CATGCATCTTATACAAAAGTCAAATGGACATAGCCCCTAATTGTTCATCCTGTGATCCGATATCTAAAACCTATGTTTGACTTGAGGGTCTTGTTCTCCTGTTCCTTAGTCAAAACCGATACACTTCATTCAAGCTTAGATTCGTTCGAACCTGTGAAAAAATGCAATGCCGGAATTACAATAGTGATTTGCTTTATAATGTGAAACATTTCTTGAGAACTGATGAACCAACCGGAAAACTCGATCCAGTTTGAGTAATGCTTTATTTCTAAGGTTCATGAGATGTTGCAGAAGAGTCTATGTAAAACTGGCTAAGCTCATATCCTAGACTTTTCTAAGTTTGGGCAGCCACTTAAAATCTCCTTTTAGAACGAAGGGCTACTTGCACTCTTTCGCGTCGTCGAATCAGGTGGTCAGCCTCGAGTGCTTAGAGAGCACGAGCATTAAAAACTTTATTTTCTCTTTAGATATCCCTGAAAGTTTTCACAGAACTGAGGGGGTGAGAGAGTGCATTTGTACTAAAACTGCTATCAAAAACTGGGGACTAAGCAGTAGCTTCCTCCCCAGTCCCCAATCCAGGGGTGGAACTCATGAAATGTACTTGGGAGTAGCCACGGGAGCAGCTGAAACAGCTGTTTTGGAGCAGGTTGGGAGCAGCTAAAACTATGCTCTGGAGCAGGCTAGGAGCAGCTCAGATCAGTTTTTATTGCACTTCAGCTTGTGTCTTAGACAAGCACGGGAGCAATATCAATCGTGCTTAGCAGCACAGATGAACATGAGTGGTTAGGGACCTAGGTAGATGGGATAACAGCATAACAGATGCGAAAACTTGAAACTTTGTGAGCCTTACCGCTCATTCACACTGGAAGGAGATCCGCGTTCGCAAAGCGGCTGCGAACGCGCTTGTATAAAGATCCAGTACAATTGCATGCGCACTTGATGTCATCGAGTGCATGTGCAATTTTACTGGATCTTTATACAACCGCGTTCGCAACCGCTTTGCGAACGCGGATCCGCTTCCAGTGTGAATGAGCGGTGAATGAGAATCAAAAAGCAAGTACCCTATGTTTCTGAAGATAGTATCCTTGACATTTTCTAATGAATTTCAGTTGCTCAAAATGCAAACCAGCACTGCTTATCGCACAACCCACACATTCTCGACATAGTAATTATATGTGCGAACCACGTGACGTGCGTAAGCAACGGACGTGTAGTTGCATGAAGGAATACGGAAACAAATTTCGACTTTAACCTATTGTGCAACTCGATATCGAAGCAGCAGACTACGATTAACGAAGTTATCGTATTTGCAGCGATAAGCAGGAGCAATGTTAATGTATGCCGAGCAGATTTACCACTCGCGTAAGAGCTGCTGGCCGGCAAGGTTTCGGATCGGACAGTGTTTCAGTTCTATCAAATCACAATTTATCTTTTTTATTTATTTATTTATAAATACCCTCAAGGCATGAAGCATTATAGAGGGGAGTGGTACAGCAAATACAATAAGTAAAATGGAATAATAATTGGGAAAGCATACACGAAAGAAAAAAAAACAAAAAACAATGGTTACAAATGATTAATACACTTTGATACTATATAGTCCACTAGCCTGAAACCGGCAAACACAACGTCTTCTACTAATACAGTTAAATAATCAATCGGATATATTTTTTAAGGCAGATTGAAACAAATCATAATTAGTAATAGTGGCTATCAGAGAGGGAAGGTGGTTCCAGTCACTAGACGTACGTGGGATGAAGGAATAAAAAAAGGAATTAGTGTTGCATGAAATGACTCCTACTTTATGTGGGTGATCCATCCGTGACGACATGTATGAAGGTGATGTTAACAGTTCACCGCGTAAAGTGGTGTGGTGGAAAATTTTATGGAACAAACAAAGTCGTGCGTTTTTGCGTCGTGACGATAGGGAAGAAAGACCTAGGTTAGATTTCATGGAGGATACGCTAGCAGCTCGTTGGTAGTTAGAATATATAAATCGAACCGAGTTATTTTGAATCATTTCCAACTGATTAACGAGAGTTCCGATGCCAGGATCCCATATCGCTGAAGCATATTCTAGTTGTGAGCGCACAATTGTTTTGTAGAACAGTAATTTAATAGAAGTAGGGGCCGAGTAAAAGTTGCGTTTTAGGTACCCAAGCATACGGTTAGCCTTGTTAGTAATGGAGTCGATGTGAATTTGCCAGCTAAGATTAGAAGTAATATGGACGCCTAAATACTTGTATGATTCGACAGTTTCGAGTAGACTACTATCAAGGTGATATGAAGGTAAGTTAGCGGAACAACGAGAGATTCGCATGAATTTGCACTTGTTAACATTTAGTGTCATATGCCACGTTTTGCACCAAGAAGTGATAGCGTCAATATCAGATTGAAGTGCATGCACGTCATTGATAGAGGTTATTTCCCGGTAAAGAACACAATCATCTGCGAATAGATGAATCGAAGATGATACACAGTTTGGTAGATCGTTAATATAGACAAGGAAAAGTAATGGCCCAAGTACAGTACCTTGGGGTACGCCAGATATTACAGGGTGAAGGAGAGAGCTGACTTCATTCGCGGTTACAAATTGCTGACGATGTGTGAGAAAGCATTCAAGCCATTTTAGTATGTTAATATCAATACCTATTTTTTTTAGTTTTAGTAGCAGGAGCTGGTGAGATACCTTATCAAATGCTTTCGCGAAATCCAGATATATACAGTCGGCGGATGATCGGTTATCGAGTATAGATTGCAACTTATGGGTGAATAAAGCCAGTTGTGTCTCGCACGAAAAAGATTTGCGAAAGCCGTGCTGTGCGCGGTGAAAAAAAGAATTTGATTCCAGATAGTTCGCGATATGGGAGAAAAGTATGTGTTCTAGAATTTTGCAAGGAACGCTAGTGATTGATATGGGTCTGTAGTTGTAGGGTGAGTGCTTGTCGCCAGATTTGTGCACGGGAACCACCCTCCCTATTTTCCAGTCCTGCGGGAGCTCACCAGAATTGAGGGATTGCTGGAAAATTTTAGCGAGGGCGACAGAGGTACAGGCTTTCGTGTTTTTTAGGAACATGGGAGTAATACAGTCAACACCAGAGGAGGAGAAAGGTTTGAGAGAGTCAATAATTTTGGCAACACCATCAGTCTCAATCTGCACAGGATACATGGGTAAATACTCAGGGTTACTAAATGAAGGCAAAACGTCAGAAAAAACACACGAAAAAGCGCTGGAAAACACGTTGTTAAGCGTATCTGAACACTGTTTGTCATCAATTGGTTCACCGTCCAAATTCGTTAGTACAATTCGCGAACTATCAGCCGGGTTCACTACATTCCAAAATTTTCTTGGATTGTTCAGCAACATATTTGGTAATGTGTTGGTTAGAAAATTTTCCTTCGCCGATTTGACTGCAGAATTATATTCATCAGCCGAGGTACGATATAGAGACCATCGATGTTGGTCACTAGACGTTTTTGCACTTCTATACATGCGTTTTTTTCGATTGGAAAGGCGCCTGATAAATGAATTATACCATGGTGCTTGCGGATTATAACAGATTACACGAACTGGAATAAAACGGTTAGCAAGCTCTGTCATCTTCGTTTTTAGAAGCTTCCAATTATATTCAACTGAGCGTGCTTCGAACCCGTTTAGAAACGCTTGTAGAAATAAAAACAGTTCATCATTGATTTGGTTAAAGTCAGCATTAGGATAATTACGTATCACTTTAGTTCTATTAGAAAACTTTTTTACAGGAATAGTCACAGAAAAATTTAGTAGAGAGTGATCACTTATTTTCGGCATGTATGTTACTTCTGAGGATAACTCGGGACAAGTAGTTAATACCAAATCTAACAGGTTCGCACTTGTCGGTGTAACTCTGGTTGGTTCGGAAATAATCTGTGTAAAGTGAAAGTATGAACATAACTCAATAAATTCCTGGCAAACAGACGAGGACGAATTTAGTGAAGGGGGGGACGTTGACCATTTGATTCCTGGATAATTAAAATCACCCAGCAAGAATACAGGGGATGTTGGGTACCGTGTGATAACGATGTTTATGGCATCATAGAGCTCAGTAACAAAGCTAGAGGAATCATTCGGGGGGCGATAGCAAACCCCGACAACCATTCTACAATGAGCTAGTTTTACAGACACCCATATAATCTCTAAGCATGACGCAATATGAAGTGCGAATGACTCAAATTCCTTTTTAATCGCTATTAGTACACCACCACCTTGCCTCGTTTCCCTATCTCGTCTGTAGAAATGAAATTGATTGGACAAATCGAATATTTCATTTTCACGAATGTTACTGTTAAGCCATGTCTCTGTTAACACGACAATATCGGCAGAGCAAGAATCAATAGCAGAAGAAATTTCGGTGCGGTTTCTGACAACGCTTCTGATATTAGTAAATAAAATAGAGACTTGTGATAAGGATGCACGATAACCACAGCCCCTCGGTAACCCCTACGTGTCTGACGTATCACGTTGCCTGGATGACGCAGCGTGTTGTCCCGAGGGCACAGTTGTTGGTGTATCGGTAGTAGCTGATTGTGATATCGGAAGTCGTGACTCACAAATTTTATCGGAGACAGGGTCGTACGTGTATAATTTTCCATTAACGGACAGTTTGTTGTATTCCAGCTGGAAGGAGGGACTGTTAGGCATCGTTTTGGCAAATTCGGTCAGCTTCCTCCGTACTTCGCGCGTCGCGGGTGAAAAATCCTCAGTTACACTCACGTCGTGTTCTTTCAGTTTAGCTTTGGCCTGAAGTACCTTTTCTTTAGTTTTAAAACTAGAAAATTTTATTATTACGGGGCGGCATCTTGAGCCGGAAAATTTTCCTAAACGGTGAGCGCGTTCGATATCAACCGAGGCTAGCTGAATACCAAGCCAGTTGGACAACAAGTTTGATACCTTTTCTTCTGTTTGTGGCCACGTTTCCTGAATATCAGGAATTCCGTGGAAAATCAAATTGTCACGCCGTGACCTGTCCTCTAGTTCGTTAATACGAGTCTGCAATAATTGGTTTTGTCTTTGAAGACCTTCTACCGTGTTGGAAGTATTCCGCAAATCAACTTCAACACTATCTAGCACCTCTAGCTTCTCTTCGACAGCTGTTAATCTACCGCCTATATTTGTAAGCGTAGATTCAATGTTTTGTTGACCGTTTCTAATTTCAGTGATGCTTTGTTTTAATTCCTGATTACCTGTTGCTATTTCAGCTGATTGCTTTTGAAGATCGCGCAACATACGCAAAATTTCTATGTTTTGCTCTGCCTGGGTCAGTGCAACCGCTCCCTCAGTATTATCTTCTGTCATACTAACCATGGGCTGGCTAGTTTTTCCTTTGGTGGACTGTGACGACGTGGTTCGTGTGAAAGGGCCGGGATTGGACTCTACGTCACCCGACATCAATAAAAGAAGACAATTTTTCAAGTACTCCAATATCACACTAAGAAACACCCGTGGGCTCGGGAACAGCAATAGCAAACGTTTGTTTTTGTTTTTTAGGTTCAAAGGAATGTGGATACCCACCTGAGGTACGAAGAAACAAGGTTTGTAAGCCATTGCGGCCGTCGCGCTGCTCCCGTGCCCACTGGAGAATTCACTGAACTGCCAGCCTTTTACATCTGGCGCTGCGGGCGTCGTCGATGTCGATGGGTTTTCTTTGATGAAGCGAGGCGAATCGTAGATCCAGGTGGCCTGCTTTACGTCATCATGTCGGCGGGAATCGCCGACTGGAACTTGCGGCAGCGAATCCGTGGTGATGAAGTCGAAGGCGAAACCATTATACCGGGACGCGCAGTAAGCAAGGAGTGGTAGTAGGACCTGAGGTACGAAGAAACAAGGTTTGTAAGCCATTGCGGCCGTCGCGCTGCTCCCGTGCCCACTGGAGAATTCACTGAACTGCCAGCCTTTTACATCTGGCGCTGCGGGCGTCGTCGATGTCGATGGGTTTTCTTTGATGAAGCGAGGCGAATCGTAGATCCAGGTGGCCTGCTTTACGTCATCATGTCGGCGGGAATCGCCGACTGGAACTTGCGGCAGCGAATCCATGGTGATGAAGTCGAAGGCGAAACCATTATACCGGGACGCGCAGTAAGCCAGGAGTGGTAGTAGGACCTGAGGTACGAAGAAACAAGGTTTGTAAGCCATTGCGGCCGTCGCGCTGCTCCCGTGCCCACTCTTGCAGTTCCAACTTCTAACGATGAAGTACTAAAAGGAATATTTTGCTCATTTGTTTTCAACTGGCTGACGTCTGGATCCCGGGCCGCAGACCCTCAGGCAATCTGACGCTTAACGGCTCGACCTCAGCTCAGCCGACTTGCTTAACCGCTTATGGTTAAAGAATAACAATCCAGTCGCAGGAGGTGGTGTAGAGCTTAGAATCCCGAGTTTTTTCGCGCGCTTCCTATTCGGGATACACAGGGAGAATAAACAGAACAAAGGATTACAAGGCCGGTCAGGCTAAACGTGCTCATTGTGGCCAATCGAGTCAATAAAACCGAAACCAAGACAAAATAAAAAAGCTTTTGGCGCACGTTTTGCCATTTGGCGCATAATGGCACGAGGTATTAACTGCGGCGCAGGATGGCGCAGACACATGCGTCTGGCGCAAAATGGCGCAGCCGTTCCACCCCTGCCAATCTCACAATTTAGGAACTCCATCCTATCCACGTTTGAGCACACCTGTGCACACGCTTTTGAGTCGAGCGAGTTAAAAATTAACAGAGTATTTTTATATGGTATGCATGTTTGTTTGCAAGCTCCACACTTTGTGCACCTGATTACCCCTTAAATGTGATCTAGCCATTTTTTTTACCCAAGTGCCTACCACTCAAGGAGCTCACTTGGCCACTTCGTCAGCGCATTCTGACTGCGTATTTTGTTTTTGTTGCCCGTTGAAAGGGAGATTCTTCTTTATAATTTTCTCTAAGAGATTGTTCTGATGTGTGCGAACGATGCATTTTGGTGTACCTGCATGCCATATAGGTACTCCAATTCATAAGTTGGTTTTGGAGCTGGCAAAGGCATAGGGTCAGATGCACGATTTTAAAAAGCGTTCTCTCTGCATGAGTGCTCATACAAACCAAGCTGTCCTGAAGTGCCTGTGCCGTTGCCTGTGCTAGAGTCAAATCGGTCACACGAACCATGCAACACACCAACTGACCAATAAAAAGTGATAAAAGGTTCACCCACAAATGCTGTCGCATTTAAATTGAAAACAGGACAAGCTGAAACAAGCAACCCATTAAAAAAAGTACCATGAAACTTTCATTACATCAGTTATTTTATATCTACTAGAAATAAATATGTGAAGCCAACCGCTTAAAATTAATTTACAGAGACCACAATCGGGTCTGCACAGATAAAGAGGAAAAAGCCAATCTTGTGGAAGGCCTTCTGAATAAATGTGTCCTTTGATCTAGTGAAGCTGTACATTTTAGGATAAAATAAATGTTAGACGCAGATTTTTCTTCATAAATTGTAGACAAATAGACATTCGACTGCGACTGTGGAGGGGAGGGGGACAGAGGCAGCAGCTGCAGCTTTCTTCTCCTAGCACCTCAACCAAGTCGCATTAATTTGGATTGTGGGGACCTGTACCTGCATGTCGTGGCACAGAAATCTGGCGAGCACTGTGGATTTCCAAGCCAAAACATGCAGGCCACAAGACATTTTTCAAGGAATTGGGTGGCTAGCAGGACTAGTTGGCAGCGAAGCCACTGCCACCCACCGTGGGAAAAACCCTGGTTAGATGTGACCAATATTGTCCAAACAGTTTTCAGAAGGGTGCTGTCAGTCACATCAGGTTTGCTTTTATCTCAGACATGCTAGACTTTAAAAACTGAAGTATTTACTTGCCAGAAAAAAACATGTGCAGCCAACTCCACAAACTGACTTTTTCAAAGTTCTCAATCGTCAAAAACTGCTCCACGTTGTACAGTTTCAAATGTAGTTCCTGAAAAAAAAAAGACAAACACGAATGACAATCTATACAAATGAGAGTTGCTTAAATTGTAGCTGGCTATAAGTATGCAAGGTAATCTCGCAGTGCAATGGCCACAGGAGACTGCCAGAAATCAGCGGACCTGTGCTCTAAGAAATTCCTACAAACAAGACTAAAGAACCATGCAGTTCCCTTTAGTTAAAGGTTACATTATAATGTGTTAGAATATACAAGAAAGCAGATTTAAAATCTTCTTGCAGCAAGACCTTTGTTCTTGCAGCAAGACCTTTGTTCTTGCAGCAAGACCTTGTATGCATCCACATAAACTAAGCGAAAAATATGCATTTAGAGGGCCCTTGCAATATTTGTCGCCTTGGTCAAGATACGTTATATACAAAAACTACCTAATTAAGCTAGTTAAGAAAAAGGTAACCTATAACAATTATCCTTAAGAGGTAATTCCATTATTTTACCTGACTTTTTTATTAAAGAAATAAACAAGGAAAAGTAGGAACCGTCTATGCTCAGGTTTATTGCACAAAGTGCCTGTATCCGTGTTATTACATCTTATGTTAAAGCAGCGGTTGCTTTTGTAAATTTTCATCTAAAATCTTTACTTTACTGAAGGCAAGCGCATCTATTTCCATCGCTGAACAAGCTTTCGACTGGCACACTCGGTGGAATGGCTTGCACACACAAGGATTTGTTCCTGGTTAAGACCTTAACGATACACAAAGCCATTGCCACTGATGTTATCTTTCTCCACCACTGCGCCTCACAGTACGCACAACTTTTGGAGGGAGTTGAAAAAAAAAATTCTCCTCGTTTATCTGTTGTCAGTGTTTTCTCTGTATTCATAATCCAAAATGCGTAATCTTTTTGGTCGTTGTCTATCCATGACAATCTAGATATAAGGTATGCATCAGATTATGCTCCTCAATGTAACTGTAATTAGAAAGATTAGAAAATTAACTACAAAAGAACACTGCTACTTTTTTTTTATCCAGAAAAGAATAATGTGATACAGAAGTTACTTCCAACAAACTTAGCGAGAAGTTACAGAAGTTACTTCCCACAAACAAAATAACAATTGTTACATTAATATGTTACTTGCAACGTGTCACTACTTAATACTACCTGCGAATCAAACGTGGCAAATCATCGGCTACAAAAAGCCAGCAGCAGGTGACCTAGTAGGCTTGAATTTAGCTATAGACCGTTTTACTGAAAGAGGGCGAGAGAGAAAAGGGGAAAGGGCTACTGGCGCTTTCCCCCTTTCTGATTGTGTAGAAAGAGTAAAAGTCCCGGATGAGAGGCTTGGCTGGTGTTGGGTGTCTGCTGTGCCCCAACTTCGTTCGCGCTTTCTTTTCTGTTTTTAACTCGCAAACTTAATTAGAGTAACGGGCTTCGATGGCAACAGTTCCCCGGTCATCGGGACACCATTGCTCGGTCATAGCGTGCACGAATAACGACAGAAAGCGTTGAATACTGTCCGAGGACCTATGTAGCTTGCAATGAATCCGGCAAGGCGAGAGCGGCTGCAATGTCTTTAAGCTCCATCGCTTTCCACATGACTCCGGTCTTGGCGGCAGTGGGTTGCGTTCGTAAACCGAAAAAACATTTCCTCAACACCATCTTCTCGACTGTGCTCGGAACAGCTTGTGGATGGAGCGCGCACCGAACGCTGTACCGCCGATGAACATGGAGTACGCTCGCAAGGTGCCTGCCAGTTTTCTCGTGATAATTGCTGTTTCAGCTTGTAAAATTTTGTAACTGAATTTATCTCAATATGGATAATTTGCAGTTGTGGCTGACTCGATTTCATCATTTCCAACACTTAGTTGAAGGCTTATTTCCGCCGCCGGGTGAGGCTATATTGTTGAAAAGGTAGTTCTATCGGTTTTCCTGAATAGCGATCCCCTGCGCTCCTTATCATTTCATTTCATTTTTTCATTTATTGACCTCAAATCGCCCGATGGCATTACATGAGGGGGGAAGAGACAAGCTGACTCTATTCTAATACAAAATACACGCGAATGAGAGAAAAGCGAAAGATCAGCACGTACTTAAAAAAAAAAAAGAAAAAAAAGCATACAGTATGGTTCAACTAACCAAGCAGACGACAGTCAGAGGTAACACAAGCGCATATACCAATAAAGGTAAAACATGCAGGTGGCGTACACGCACAGTACGCAAAAAAATATATTAGTCATTGAACAAAGTTTCACAGGCGTCTCTGAAAAGAGCGACGTCCGCTAGACCCGCAACCGATTCAGGTAGACTGTTCCAGTCCTTAATGGCTAATTGCAAAGGCGATTCCGAAAATTGTTTGGTGTGACTAGGTGATAATCTTATCTTGAAGGGATGATCAATCCTAGGAGAAATATGGTACGGAGGGAGCAAAAGTAGTTTCTTGAGTTCCTGGTTGAAGTAGTAGATTTTATGTAAAAATAAAAGCCTCGCCTGTTTACGTCTGCTACTCAGTGATTGCAAGCCTGCTCTCGATTTCAGGGCAGTTACACTGGATGAGTGTGAATAGTCTTTATAAATAAAACGCGCAGCTTTGTTTTGTACGGACTCTAACTTCTGTGTAAGATTTATTTGCCAAGGGTTCCAAATCACACTAGCGTATTCAACTTTAGAACGAACAAATGAGGTGTATGCAAGGATGCGGACTTCTGGAGGAGCTAAGTACAGGTGTCTTTTCAAGTAACCCAGCGATTGGTTTGCCCTACCAACAATAAAGTCTATATGTTCCTTCCAATCCAGTTTTTCAGTTAAAATAACGCCAAGGTACTTATACTTTGTTACCCTTTCAAGATTTGTGTTGGCGAGTGTATAATCAAAAGTAATATTGCTTTTCTTGGTCGAGAACGTCATGACTTTGCTTTTTGATACGTTAACACACATTTGCCAATCCGTACACCAAGCTGTGATGGAATCAAGATCCCGCTGCAATTGCGAAGCATCGTCCGAGTTACGTATTTGCCTATAAATAACGCAATCGTCAGCAAACAGTCGAATTTTAGAGGTTATGTTTGTCGGGAGGTCATTGATATAAACAAGAAAAAGAAGCGGTCCAAGAACTGAGCCCTGAGGAACTCCAGATATTACATTTATTGTATTAGAGGTTTCTTTGTTAATGGTTACTGATTGTGTTCGGTGCGAGAGAAAATTAAGGATCCAATTGGTGTACATAGGGTGAAGATTTAGACTGCCTAACTTTT